ATTACTGAAAATATATATATATAATTTTAAGATTAAATTAAATTAGATAAACCATATACTATAAGATGAAACAAGATTCAAATTTCTTAGAAGGAATTTCAGTCTTCAGATTTTATACTGCTATTTCCATATATTAACAAAAATAATTCAAAGTTGACCATAGTGTCTTTCTTTTAGTTTATTTAAATCTGATTTTCATAGAAACCATTCATAGGAAAAATCTAATTTAAATTTATGAAAATATGAAGTTGACGTCTAAATCACTTAAAATCTCAATCTGGAGGGCAAATTTGAGATAATTTGCTATTGGCAGGTAATTATATTAATAAGATAGCATGACTGTGTATGTGTATACAAATACATACATGCACACATACGTGTATCACCTATGCATCTGTACACATGTCTATGTATATATGTGTATATGTATACATATATGTGAGTAGCAAATAATACATGTTTTCATAAATATAGGAATAACAAACAAGAGGATTATGAAGGTAATATTGATGATGATGATTACGATGATAGCAACAAACATTTATTGCCTGTTTATAATGTGTCATATATTAATCTGAATCAGGGTTCTTCAACCTTGACACTACTGCCAATTTTGGCCATCTGGCCACTGTAGGATGTGGCTAAATATCCCATGCCTTTATTCATCAGATGCCAATAGCATCTCCTCAGTGGGAACAACATAAGATGGTCTCCACACTCCTGGAGTTAGGAGAGCAGGCGGAAAGGAGAAAAGAAAATTTACTTCTCATTAAGAATGCCTGTCTAAATGCTTTATATACAGTACCTCATTAATGTCTCAATTATTTTAGGAGGTGGTTCGTGTTGTAGTACTAGTTAAGTGTTGTCAAGTCGGTTCTGACTCACAGCGACCCTGCATAGGGTTTCCAAGGAGCCACTGGTAAACTTGAACTGCCGATCTTGCGGTTTAAACCAACTTTGTGTTCCAGTGCATTAGCCCACTGCACCACATTTCAACTCATGGTAACCTCATGTGTGCAGAGCTGAACTGCTCCAGTTTTCAAAGCTAGGACCTTTCAGAAACAGATCACCAGGCCTGTTTTCCAAGGCATCTCTGGCTGGGTTCACACAACCAACCTTTCTGTTAATAGTCTAGTGTTTAACTGTTCTATGAGGTAGATACATTATTTTCCTCCATTTTCAGACACTGAAGTATAAAAGGATTATTAAATTGCTTAAAGTCAGCCAGTAAGTGATGCTTCAGCATTTATTCTCAGTATGTCAGTATGTCCAGAATCTCCTGTGAACCACCACAGCGTACCGTAATGTGTAGAAATACACTCATTACAGAGTGGGGAACACTATCTGTCTCTCAAAATTACTTGGGAGAGACGAAACTAGGTGAAAATAACCTCTGAAGTGTCATGTAAGCATGCTGTTGTTGCTAAGTGTCATCAAGTTGGTTCTGACCCATAGAGACCCTGTATAGGGTTTCCAAAGAGTGGCTGATGAGTTTGAACCACCGACTGTGCAGTTCAAACCGACCTTGTGATCCAGTGCTTATCCTACAGCATCACAACAGGACTCCACCATGTAAGTATAAAGGACTACCATTTATATATTTAGTAATATATAATAGCAGTAGAAACAATTCTAAATATTTTACTTAGTCATTTTAGTTCATAGAAGAAACTATACTTTTTTGCCTTTTGAAGAAACTTACGGTCCACAGGAAGTTGTTTGTGTCTCTGGCTATCTCGTATAATGCTGCCACCACTGTCACTGGAGTTGCTGTTCTGACGGGTTACATTGGCGGGAACCTTTGACACAGGGACAGGTGCTGGAGTAGAAGGTGGAAGGGGGACAGGGACCGGAGCTGGTGTTGGAGGAGGAGACGGAGCAGGAGGAGTATCAGTTGGCCTTGGACCATACTCCATCCTCTGTTTCTATAAGAAGACAAGTCATTTATTTGATATTTTAAAAACACAACTCAGACTAGGTAAACAAATTTTGCTATTTATTTGTACACTTTTTTACAAACCCAGAGGAAGCTTATGTTTGTTATTATGTATGTGGGTACCTACATACACAAACACATATATGTACATACATATGCATATATCTCAATATATACACAGATATATTTACATACACACTTCTTCACTTCCATATGTTAAGTGCTGTTGAGTTGGTTATGACTTATAGTGACCCAACTGTATAGGGTTTTAGAGAAGAGGCTGGTGGTTTGTACTGCAGACCTTGACGTTAGCAGTCCAGTACCGATCCTACGGCACCACACCAAGATACTGCTATTATTAGGTGCTGTCGAGTCAATTTTTGACTCATAGCAACCCCATGTGGTTGGGTAAAGTTACATATCATATCACATACAGCTTTTTCTAGAATATAATTTTTATAAGAGCATAATTACTATAAATAATCATGTTTTAAGTACTCTACCTATTTGTTAGAAGTTGAAAATATAAGTTAAGGAGTTATAAGAAGATATCAATAGAAAACAAATGTATTCATGATGGTGATATTAACAAAAATTCGATTTGGACTTGGAATCACACTAAACTTGTTGTTGTTGTTAAGCGCTGTCAAGTCAGTTCAGACTCATAGCAACCCTTGATACGGCTTCCAAGGAGCAGCTAGTGAGTTTGAACTGCTGACCTTGTGGTTCAAACCGACTTTACAGTTCAGTGCTTTACCCCATAGTGATTGTTTTATAATTTCCATTAATGTTTTCTAATTGTACTAGAAGACTAAACACCAACTGGAGCATAATTTTACTTATCATTTTAAATATGATCAAAGATCTTAAGTTTTCCTATTTCCAAGTAATATTAATATTAAAGTAGATGAAGGGACTATGCTTCAAAATAAACAGGTTTTAACTGTTAATATTAATACATCATCTTTATATTAATGTATAGCCCTTTCTGCCATCAAAGGGCTATACATTAATATAAAAATGATGTATTAATATTAACATTTTATTTAATTAAACTAGAAATTATTCTAATGGTGTGGAGCGAATGGAGTGAAGGTCTTTAATTCTGTAAGGCTGCAACTAATAAACACATTAAAAAATAGGCCACATGGGTACTTTTATTTTTTTAAAGGTTGTCATTTTTGTTAAGTGCTGTTGAGTCAATTTGGACTCATAGCAACCCTAGGGTTTCCCAGGAGGAGCGGCTGGTGGGTATGAATTGCTGACCTTGAGGTTAGCATTCCAGTGCTTTTCCTACAATGCCACACCAGGACTCCTTTTAAAGGGTTGTTGTTGTTGCTATGTGCAGTGGAATTGATTCTGACTCATAGCGACCCTGTATAGGGTTTTTAAGGCTGTAAATTTTGACGGGAGCAGAAAGTCTCATCTTTCTCCCGTGGAAGAGCTGGTAGTTTCGAACTGCTGACCTCAAGGTTTGTAGCCCGATTCATAACCACTACGCTACCAAAGTTGGTGTGAGAAAACACAAAATACTTTCAATCATTTTTAATCATAAATAATAGGCTATTATAAAACAGTATTCATGTATGTTGTTGTTGTTGTTGTTAAGTGCCATCGAGTTAGTTCCAACCTATAGCGACCCTGTGTAGGGTTTCCAAGGAGCGGCTGGTGAGCTTGAACTTGTGTTCAAACCGACTTTGCAGTCCAGTGCATTAACACACAGCACCACACCAGGACTCCTTATTAAACTGCATACAAGAGGTGAAATTTAAAACCAAGTCAAAATAACTTTAATAGATAACTGCATTGTAACAGATTCCAAATTATCAAAAGGCACATTTTCTTTGTACACCCCAAGTATACAAAGCAATAACTTTTGCAACCAATGTTTCAGACTGGTTCATTCAGTTCACCCCCCGTGCTGAGAATGTGCAGGTTCACCACCAGATAAACTGAATCAGAATCTACATTTTAACAAAGAATCACCTAGGAATGTCGAAGAATCCTGGGAATCTTTTTAACATGCAGATTTTGATTCAGTATATCTGGGGTTGTTGTTGCTGTTAAGTGCCATTGAGTCCATTCAGACCCATAGTGACCCTGTATAGGGTTTCCAAGGAGCAGCTGGTGAGCTTGAACCACCGACCTTGCAGTTTAAAGCACTTTGCAGCCCATAGCACCACACCAGGACTCCATGTCTGGGGTGGAAACAGAACTTCTCAGTTGGAAGCCCTGCCTGTAACTGAGGTTTAGAGACTGCACTGTCACAATTTTAAATTATTCTATGATTGAGGAGTAGCATTATAAAATGCAAAAAGGCCTTTTGATAATCAGGTCCTTAATTAAGAAACATGTTTACTTTTAAGTTCTAAATTGGCCCAAATATAAGATAATATTGATTTTAACAGAGCTTTCCCCAATTTCCACAGAGATCAAAAACATAAAAATACACACCACAAACACACCACTTCTAATTTAATCATGACTCAAAACACACCACACCAACCCGCATCATAGTTGCCTTCAGAGCAAATGATTAACACCTGTGGAAACCTGAGTGGGAAGAAGCCTGGGTTGTTTTCTACTCTTTAAAAGCTACCATTCACCAGAAACTGGGGTGGAGAAGGAGAGGAAGGGTATTATGCAAGGGTGGAAGTAGAAGTGAAAGAGATGTTTATAATGCTGCTAGACACTTGGTGGGGGCCGGGGGAGGGAGAGGAGCAGAGAGTGTGGAAGGAAGTAGAGGGATACACTCACAGTGTAAGTCATGGAGCAGATGAGACACAGGCAGACTGTTAACCCTATCAGCACTTAACGCCCAGAAACAGCTCTAATATAGTTTCTAATAATAATATTAAAAACAACAGCATTACTACTTTTGCTATCAAGCCTAATGAAACAGTTTTCCTATATTTGGGCCAAGAAAATAATTCAAGCAATCAAAATACAGCAAACATCACTAAATGTAATATTTAAAACACACCAACATCATTTCATTAATGCATATGCAATGTTTCCTTGCCAAGAATGTCCTTTGCACACAAATTCACGATGTGCGAGTGAATTAGGATTCCAAAAGTGTCAGAGTTTAAAATTATTGTTTTTGAAGCACAAACAAAAAATGCCATGAGCTTGGCATTCCATGAAATGATTCATATTTTCTGCTTCCATAAAACAAGAACAGCTAGTGCTTTGCTCTCCATTAAAAAAATACTGTGGAAAACCTAATGCATTGTGTGTTATTGTCACAATCAAGCCTGAAGACAAGCTCACCAAATGTTCTGTGCCTCATTTCACTCATCTATTATTGCTAAATAATGCAACTTTATCAGTATGCCCTAACAGAATATAGGCTTAAAACTGTAAATATGTGATTAAAGGAAACGAATAAGAAAAATGTTTAATTAATCATGCCATGTATTGTATTTACTTGCATATTTTCCCTTTTTCTTGATCCTTTTCTCTTGCTTCATGTTACAACCCCTGAAGTGAAAAAAGAGGAAAAGCTGTCTGGAATAATTGCAACCCTCTTCTTCCCTCTGACCTGGCAACCAAGGCAACTTTCTTTTGGGAACTGGTTTAATGCTACTCTTGGTGTGGAGGTAACAGAATCAGGAGGGTCTTCAAATCATTTTGTTATGCCTCCTCCTACTGCTATACCTCCACCACCACCACCACCATCCCTCCACCTTAACTCAACTAGTAGTCTCTTCATTATTTCTGTCAGCAATTCCTTACTGTAAGTACGACGTGGATGCCTCCAATGTACCCTAACTCATGGGAAATCTTTTAGAGGCAACTGCAACCTGAACTTTCTTCTCCTGAGCCAAGGTGAATTTTAAACCCTAAAAACCAAATTTTGACCAACTCATTCCAGTTTTTCTCGAACGTTCCTCATTTTAACATTGAAAAGTTACATGTTCCTAGAAACTTTAATTGTGGACAAACTAGATGGTTGGTCACTCTGGTGTGGTCCCACTTTTGTATGCCTTTACGTCACTCTTGCCCGCTTCATCTCCTACACATACAGGGAAGCCTGTGAGAACTGGAACACAGTGGGGCTGACTGTTTCTGGGTCTCGAAAGTTTTCTGCCTTTGACAGGGTGTAATCTTGCCACTTTTTTTCTCTCTCTCTTGTGGTTATTAATCAGGCTGCTAATCTCACAGTCAACAGTTAGAAACTACCAGCTGTTATGTGGGAGAAAGATGAGGCTTTCTGCTCCCATCAAGATTTACAGCTTCGGAAACCCTGTACAGGGTCACTATCATTCGGAACCGACTCCACGGCAAATGACTACAACAACAACAACTGTCGTTGTTAAGGAGCTCTGGTAGCGTAGTGGTTACGAATCAGGCTTCTAAGTCTCACGGTTAGCAGTTCGAAAGTACCAGCTGTTCTGTGGGAGAAAGATGAGACTTTCTGCTCCCATAAAGATTTACAGCCTTGGAAACCCTGTACATGATTGCTATGAGTCAGAACCGACTCCATGGCACATAACAACAACAAAACTGTTGTTATTAAGTGTTATCAAGTCAGTTCTGATTCATATCAACCCTGTATAGGGTTTCCAAGGAGAAGCTGTTGGGTTTGAACTGACGACTTTGCCGTTAGCAGTCCAGTGCTTACCCTACAGTTCTACTGTTGGAAAATATTTACTCTCTTCTCTGGCAGGTTTCCACTTTACACAAGTTCCAGTTTTCACAGGTTTATGTATATTTAAAGTTCTGTTTAATACAAAATCTCTTTCTCTTTCTCTGAAAGAAATCAGAATTACTAAACCTGGTGACAAATTTCCTTTTCAAACTTAAGTCTGAATGAGTCACTTTTCTTTAGCAACTAAAGTTTAGTTGAAATCCTCAAGGATTTAAAAAGTTATTAAGAGATGAGCTCCTGATACATGCAAGATACTGCTTCAGAGGGGAAATTATGCAAGTAAGCCTGAAGGAAGCATTAACATTGAACTGTTCTTAAATTTTTAACCTGTTCTG